GGGGGGGGGGAGATGTTGCTCAGTCTTGAAGCAGGCTCTCCTCGGCCATCCACCCAAGCGAGGGAAGAGGCCGTTCACGTCTGGAGTATTTGAGCTGCAGCAGGTCGCCCACTTCGTTTGTGGCCTCCAACGCCTGGTAAAAGAACAGGAGGAACGCCATTAGTCTCAATTAGTCACTTCAAAGAGTTGCATTTGTAGGTCCTAAATGAAGTGATGAGCCTTAATCACACTTGGATTTTTCACTAAACATGTCAGAGTGTTAAAGACAAAGCAAAATTGAACACAATGCTCCCTGCACAGTCAACAACTGAACAGAAAGTCCTGCACGTCTCTCCACAAGAGGCTGCATCAGCATTGCAACACTGCAGGGCACCTGGAAACAATTTACCTTCCTCCTGACCTTTTTTCTGATTCCATGCTCTGAGAAATAGCGAGGGCTGACTGTTCCAAAGACGGAAAAAGCGGCTCCTCAAAGTGCTCTACAAAGGCAGGCTGATGCCCTTTAAATGGACTATTACACACAGTGCTGACATGCTCCTCAGTAAGATGAATGAAGTGTCTTTGGAGAGACAGAGCAGCTCAAATAAAAGTCTCCATCTGAGCCACGCTGTAATACTTGGAGGCAGCTTGGCCTTCCAAGTTCCTTTATAATAAAGGACATATTGGAGCCTAAATTATTCAACAGGCACACTCTATAAATATGTAGACAGACACACTCGTACATAGAAAAGTGTCAGTCAGGCAGGTAGGTAGATCACCCATGCATTTAAAGAAACCTAGATCATGTTGAGGATAAGATTAAGTCTGGCAAAGGCAGTTGTGTGTTGGAAGTGGGAGCATTCAATAAAAACAGAGCCCAGATTGTCCAAGAAAGTAGTTTTACTCATCTTCCAATAAAGAAAGAGGTGATCATCTTACTGATGCATATAAGGGATGACAGTGGAGCTAATGCAAATATCCTTAGAGACATTTTCCAGTTTGTGCCGACGTGCTAATAACCATTTAAAATGATTGTAATGCCGCTTTTGAAGTTGTTTTGTGGAAACTTTCTACACCATGTTAGAGTAAAGACGGGCCTTTTATGGCAAGACATCTGAGAGAGGTGAAAAAAATGTAAGAGACCCGCTGATTAATATGTCACCCATCATCAGCCAGTCCCTTGTAGTGATACATTCTTCCATGTAGTGTTTTGGACATTGTTGGATGACTTACTGTGTCAAGCATCTCTCTGGTATGGGCAGCTGACACGCAGAAGCGAGCCCTCGACTCGATGATGGGGGTTGCTGGGAAGCCGACAACCACTGTGCCAATGTTTCTCTTCAACATCTCCCGACCAAATGCCCTTAAAAGCAACGGCAACATTAGGCAAAGCAAAATGTAACTGATGATGTGATCTCTTCACTTTGTTTAATGTGAGAAACTCCACACACTCAGTCAGATTCTATTTGGAAAAGGAACAGTGAGAAAAGTCATTTTCAAATTAGAGCATGGGCCTTAATGTCTTTTCAAGATCATTTGGGAGATTAGCCATCCTAATTATCCTTGATGTTTAAAGCATTGAAAATATATGAAATAACATTAAATGCAGGAGAATATCATACCCAATTTTGGCAGGCATATAGAGCATCATGGGTATTACAGGCGAGTCATCGTTGCCGTAGATGATGAAGCCCATTTCGCGGAGTTTCCTGCGGAAGTAGGTGGTGTTCTCTGAGAGCTGTCTAAGGCGATCAGCACCTGGACAGAGACAGACAGAAGGATATTCAACAATGTGGGCAGACATCTCTTATTAAGCTGATTTCTGCTACGCTGATGGACAAAAGTGAAATGACTATGGTAGGTTAACTTATATGTATTAGGTCTTCAGGTGGAAAGCCTGCCTTACTTTACTCTAGCTGTAGCTTAACACCATGAATGAAGACTATATTTCCAACTGATGAGAAAAAGCTAATTGAAACTGTTGTTCTGTTGCAACCTTGGTAGCAAGTATCTACAGGTTTTCATCTAAGACTGCCAGCACAAATACGTTTTTGGGAATATCCAGATTGATTTTGAAAAGTCTGGAAAGCAACAAAACACATGACATCAACCAATGATTACCCTTCTAATTTATCACCAGGTAAGGGATTGGACATCCCTTTACCGAGCCATTTGAGGTGTTGGGGTTTTTCCGGAGGGGTCTTTAAATTGTGAAGACGTTGAGGTTTACAGCTGTGATGCCTAGTCTTGCTTTGCTCACACACACACACACACACACACACACACACACACACACACACACACCTCTGTGTGTATTGTGAAAAGGCGTGTGTATGTGTGAAACCATGTCCACAAAGGTCATTCAAAACGAAGAAATTGCATTAATTGCAAAGAGTGCAGTCAAAGCATGGCTGGGAATAGTGCATAATGTAGAATGCACACATGTTCTGCACCGCAGCTTAACAGCATGGCTGTTTGGAGGGTGAAACGAAATAACGGACCTCCATCTCGTGCTTCCGCGTTGGAAAGACGCGTAGCTACATAGTTAGATGCCTACGTGCAGAGAGGTTGGTGATGTGTGGACACACTGATCTGATCACTTGCTAATAACAGGCCCTTCTCACTCGCCCGATTCACCAACACGTGGGTTCACTTCATTTGCCTGATTAGACTTCTCATCATCATGTACTTCCTCACTCTCCTGTTGCACCTGTTACTTACACCTTTATTACTCCCATCAGTACATGAGGTGACCGCACACGGTTCCAAGCAACCTATAAAGAGGTCGAATCAGTTACAGAAAGTGAAAACAGCTGTGGGGGTGTGCAGGTACTACAACACAATTTTTTTTATTCTTGCAAGCATCATAAAACCGTATTATCAGCTCTTGTTCAGAGAGTCAAAGAAACAGCATGTTCTTTTGCAGAGTAATCCATCACTGGTGAGTTCAGCAATCTTCTATATATTTAGCCTGCTTTTGAACTGAAGAACATGAATATCATCTGACAGTTAGTTTAATAAAACTGATCCAAGGTGGAGTAAAAATGACCGAGCTAAGTCCTGCTCCAGTAACAAATCCATCGAATGAGTGTTCCATGTCTTTTATCATGAACTACACTTATTTGCAGACAGCGTACACCACAGGGTTGTGTAAGGTCAGGGTCAGGCAACAATCCTCACGTGTCAGTCTGATGCACACAGCAGATTCACAGATAGCATCTTAACCAAACAAATAACCACATGGCACAAAGTGCCAACAGCAGCACACATCCGCCTGGCTGTGCTGAAAAAGGTGCTGTGACACAATAGAGTCTGACATTCTATTTATCCAGACATTGTTTTCCACAGTCAAGGAATCCAAAGCTGTACTCAGCACTGAGTGATCAGCTGGCAAAAGACTGACGCACATGATAGTCAGACGTCTGGCTTTTCAAGCACTCAAGCATTCTTTTAATATTGGCGAAAGCTTTGCCTGTCCTGAACCCGTATGTCCCATCTACATGTTTGATTGATGTGAGCTTCAAACTACAAATGTCCATTCTGAGGCAGGCCTATGAAGGGAACCATGATCAGCCGTCCCTAGCTACCTGAACGCAGGAACAAACTGTTAACAGGCAGCTCAACAGTCACTTTGACTTTGTGTCAGTGTCTAGATCTTCAAAGGCCTGAATTCCAAACATGATGGGTCTGCAACCAATCAGCCCGTTAGTCTCCTCCAAGGAACCTTGTCAGGCTACGTTATGGTCAGCTTGTCCGGCCTTCTCGTCTCAGAAAGTTTGAAGGAACAGTTGATGACATTGTGGAACAGTCAGTCTATAAAAGGTTGCGCTAGGTGTTTATTCCTGTACCTAGTGATTGAATGAGCAAGGTAATCTGATCTTAAGTCAGCATTTTAAGAGAGGCTGCATCAATCAAGCCTCGTGAATAGTAAAGGGGAGCCATCCTGACAAAAAAAGACTTAGTGAGCTGTTCGTGTGTGTAGGAGATGAGTCCAACAGGGCTGGACGCGCACAGATCTCTGGCCCTAAGCACCATGCTGCTTTGTACCCAGCATGAAGGAAAGAAGCACATGTAAAAACACACCCATAAAGCCATAAAGGCAGAGGGTACAAGAGTCAACATACCACCACTTCAAGACCTTCCATCAACCTGGGCTGCATGGGACATTGGTAGGGAGCTGCCCACACATCAGCTTTAAAAATGGGATGCATCCCGAAAGATAAAGACAATAAGGAGTTTGCTGTAGGAGGACTGCAGAGAGACCTTCAACTATGCAAAACCATGCTGAAGAGACACAATCACACTGCAGGTTTTATCATGCCATCAGATTAGGTAGTGGGAAAAAACACCTGCAACTTTTAAGAGCAACTCTTCTGCTGAAGAAACAATCTCTAATTATTGGGAAAAACATGCATCATTTAAAAAAAATGTAAACTCATGTAATTCAGTTTTACATAGAGAGGACTCACTAACAGTCATTCTAAAAAAATAAAAGCTGTGGCATTTCCATCCTATCTAGAATACACACACACACACACACACACACACACACACACACACACACACACA